AGGTGGTTTCTGGTTAAGCATTCTACCGAGAGAAAAGCGGCATCCTACGATTATGAACAGAAATTAAATGCATCAGATGTAAGATAATTTAAGGATAAGAATTGATTAGTAGAAGTATTAAACTTAACATAGTTCATAAATGTATATATAGAAATCATAAGCAAATTTTACATCATATTGCTGATCTAGATAATAATTATTATAATATATATTATATAAACACACGTGCGCGCGCGCGCGTACACACACACACACACACACACACACACACACACACACACACACACACACACACACATGCACGCACGCACACGTGTACATAAACAATAATGATAAAAACTAAACACGTGAAATTTTGCGAGTTATTTTAACAATACAAGTGCAATCTGAAATGTAACAGAATTTTTTAACTAACGACTAGCCATGATCAAGGCCGATAAAAGAACAATTTAATGCAATTTTGTAATTTTCCTACCAAATTAATGTTAATTGAAATAAATCATATTAATAGTAAAAATAAATAAATAATGTAGTAAATATAATTAAAAATCATAAATAAACTATAACTATAAATTCAGTATCCTCTATCTTTTAAAGATTTATCATATTGATAACAATGAGAATATTTACGATGGAGAAACGCCCATTAACTCTACTTGCGTAATGATGATGAATCCGATAGTACATAGTATATCAGAAAACATGCCAGAGCAGTAGCAGTCGACCGTCAACTTTCAACATGTAACGTCGTATACAATAACGCGATAACCAAAAAATATTCAAGCAAGTTGCAAAAGAGTATAAACATTGACTTCGCTTTTCATAAACTTGTATTCCGATTTAATGGAATAATAGTGATAAATATATTAATATGATATACGTAATTGCTTTGTCGGTGATAGCGGGTGTTCTAGGTTTTTATTATTTTTTTTTAAAGATTTAAATTACTTTAAAAAATATGGCATATTTACATAAGCCACCTATTCCTATATTGGGAAATATGGGACCGTCAATTTTCCGTCTTCAATCGTTAGCCGAACTCGTCAAGGATATTTACAATCTACATTCTGAAGCAAAATACGTCGGTATGTTTGATATGACTAACCCACTTATAATGGTGCGCGATCTCGAACTTATTAAATCCGTTACGTTGAAACACTTCGATATGTTCCCGGATCATCTCAGCGTCGTGAAACGCAAGATCCGTTACTTGGCAAAAATCTTTTTTCAATTCGCGGAGAGAAGTGGCGACAAGTACGACCTTTATTGAGTCCAGCCTTCACATCTAGCAAAATGAAAAGTATGTTTAAGTTAATGTTAGAATGTGCTGACGATTTTGGCACCTTCTTAGTGCAATTGCCACCAGAACAGAGGATGATACAAGTAAAAGACATCTTTACCAGATATACTAACGACGTAATCGCTACTTGTGCTTTTGGCATCACTGTTGATTCCATGAGGAATCCAAAAAATCAATTCTACGTATATGGCAAAGAGGCGACCACATTTGGCAGTATTGCCTTAATAAAATTATACATTATTCAGAAGTTTGCCTACATTGGCACGATTAATAAATTTGAAATTTATCCGTCAGGAAATAGCAGACTTCTTCCGAGATCTTGTGGAAACCACCATAAAAACTAGGGATGAGAATGGTATTGTTCGACCTGATATGTTGCAGTTGATGATGGAAAACAGAGGTAAAGAGGGCAAGCTAGAATTGAGTATCGAAGATATGGTATCGCAGGCGTTTATCTTTTTCTTTGGTGGCTTCGACAGTACTTCAACGCTAATGTGTTTTGCCGCTCACGAAATCGCAGTGAATCCGGATGTACAAAAAAGACTTCAAGATGAAATCGATCAAGTCTTGGAAGAAAACAATAGAGAAGCACCTTACGAAGCTGTTAATAGTATGGAATATTTAGATGCTGTGATCTGCGAAGCTCTCCGAATGTATCCGGTTGTCGTGGCAATGGACAGATTATGCGAAAAAGATTTCGAGTTACCGCCGGCATTACCAGGAATGAAACCTTTTACAATAAAGAAAGGACAGGGTATATGGATACCTGTTTATGGACTTCAACATGATCCTAAATATTTCGAAGAACCGGAAAAGTTTGATCCCGAGCGATTTCTTGGTGAAAAAAGGAAAGATAGTCTCAACTGCGGAGCTTACCTTCCTTTCGGTCTTGGTCCTAGAATGTGCTTAGGTAACAGATTTGCGTTGCTAGAGACGAAAGTTCTACTCTTTCATCTACTAGCCCGTTGTAATTTGAAAGTCTGCGAAAAAACACCGATACCACTCAAGATCGCTAGAGACGGCTTCAATATGAAACCTGAAGGTGGTTTCTGGCTGAATGTGGAACCAAGAGAAAGCATACATCACATTCTTTCAGCTAAATTAGTCAATGGAACACGTTATATGTAAGAAAAGTGATTGATTTAATTGATTTTTTTTTTTATTATTTCTTGATAATTTAGTAATAAAAATATTTCAAGATATTTCAATATTTTTTGCTGTTTTAATGATTAATAACATTTTAATAATTCATTTAATCATACAATTTAAAATCAAAATTTAATAGTTAAATATATTATTAATATTATATAAGATAATAAAAATCTTTTTAAAATCTTTATAAAAATCGAAAATCTATCTGAAATATAATTATATTATAGTTTTTGTATAATACACATAATATTAATTTAATTTTAGATAAAATGGAAAATAAACTCATGATGAACCAGGACACTTTTTCTATAAATTTCCGGAAAGAAAACGTTTACTGCAAGTTTAAGAACTAAGAATTATCAGGAATATTTTGATTGAATACTGTCATTTTATCTCTTATATGTTTTTAAAGAAACAGTAAAAGAAGAAAGCAGAACAAAGATTGGCGGGTTAAATTTTATTTCTTATCTTGTTTACCCATGTTGTAACGTAATTTTTTCATAATAATCATGCAATTATTATTTAGTACAGTAATTACTTGTTCTTTTCTATGGAATATAAAATATGTGACTTTTCCATTGTGTCCCGATTTCTAAAAAAAATATTTTATTGGGTAAAAGTTTATGGAATAAAGATAAAAAGGCTTTTAAAAAATTACTAAGCCAAATATAATTATATATAATCAGAAATAAAATCTAATTGCACATATAAAATAGAAAGATATTATATAAAAAAATGATAACAGAAAAAATTGTAAGATTTAATTAATCATTTCAGTACAGAACAATATTTTAATAATTTATTAATGTATATATAATAAAATGTATATAAAATATATATTTTTGAAATATATATTTTTACCTTTCAATTTACCTTATATATTTCGGTTTCATCGAATCAACATCTAGAGATAACTTGACGCGTTACGTTATACTGCGCAACAGCCCCTCCACGCTTCGCATATAATAGAAAGATTATTTGCAGCAACACTAATCAATTGTCATTGTCAATTGTCATTGCCTCAATATGTAATGTATTGATTCCGTTCGGGACAGTTTAATAATATTCTGTTCTAATATTTGAATATTACTGTGTTTATGCGCATTACATTCTTTCATAAGTTCAATTTAATCGCATTAACAGTTATCAATATGATATACATAATCATTTTGTCGATGATAGCAGGCTCTCTGGGCCTTTATTATTATCTTTTTGAAGATTTTAATTTTTTCAAAAAACATGGAATACCAAAGCCTTTGCCATTATTGGGAAATATGGGATCCACGCTCACCCGCCGCCAATCCGTAGCTGAACTTATCAAGTCAATATACATCCTGACGCCAAATATGTCGGCATGTATGATTTAACTAAACTACTCGTAATGATTCGCGATCCAGAACTTATTAAATTCATCACGTTAAAACATTTCGATATGTTCATGGATCATCGTAGTTTCTTCGATGAAACTCAGGATCCATTTTTTGTCAAAAATCTCGTCGCCCTTCGCGATGATAGATGGCGAGAGATGCGATTTCTGGATCGCGATCTATATTGAGCCCGGCCTTCACGTCTAGTAAGAAAAATGAAAAATATATTCAAGTTGATGTCGGATTATGGTATCTTTAGCAAGTATTTGGCACAATTACAAGACCGGACAGAAGGAAAATGGAAATGAAAGACGTCTTTACGAGATATACAAATGACATAATCGCTATTTGCGCTTTTGGCATCAGTGTAGACTCAATGAGAAATCCAAATAATGAATTCTATATTTACGGCAAAGAAGTGATTATTTTCGGCATTCTGCTTGTTTTAAAGTTCTACACATTTACAATTTACAATTTTATCTTGGCTGGCACGAATACTTAAGTTGAAACTTTTTCGTAAAGAACTAGCAATTTTTTTCAGACATCTTATCGAAGTCACTATAAAAATGAAGAGAAAGCTATCGTTCGACCAGACATGTGTTGCAATTGATGATGGAGAGCAGAGATAAATATGGCAAGACGGATTTAACTATGATAGCACAGGCGTTCACCTTCTTCTTTGGAGGCTTCGATATCAGCTTGACGTTAATGTGTTTTACTGCTCATGAAATTGCGGTGAATCAGGATGTACAGAAAAGACTTCAAAATGAAATCGATCAAGTTTTGAAGGATAACGATGGACAAGTACTTTACGAAACGGTTAATAGCATGGAATATCTGGATGCGGTAATCAATGAGATTCTCAGAATGTATCCAGGTGGCCTGGCATTGGCTAGAGTATGCGTCAAAGACTTTGAATTGCCTTCAACGTTACCAGGGATGAAACATTTATTATAAAAAAAGGACAAGACATATGGATACCAGTTTATGGACTTCATCATGATTCTAAATATTTCGAAGAACCGGAGAAATTCGATCCTAAGTTTCTTGGTGAGCGCAAAAAACATACTCTAAATACCATGGAGCTTTCTTTCCTTTCGGTCTAGGTTCAAGGATGTGCATAGGTAATAGATTCGCATTGTTGGAAACGAAAGATTTGCTGTTTCATCTGTTGCTGTTAGCACATTGTGAAAATCTGTGAACGCTGTAAAACGCTGATACTACTCAAGTTAGCTGATGAAGATGATTTCAATATGAAGGCTGAGGGTGGTTTCTGGCTAAGTATGAAACCAAGGAAAAATACATATCACAGTTGCAATTAATCTTGTCAACGAAACATATGCGTAAGAAAATTTTATTAATTCTTTATTGCATTTTAATTTAGAATTAAAAGATGTTTCAATGTAAAAAAATAAGCTGCTATTTTATTGATAAATGACATATGAGGAGGATTAGTCTCAAAATAATTTCCTAGTCTTAAAGTTATATCTATATATGTAACATGCAATTTTATAATTTAAAATTAAAATTTCAGAATCAAATATGTTCTTGATACAATTAGATTCATAAACCAATAGTAGAAATAATTTTTATAAAAATGAGAATTTTTTCTAACTTTAATTTTTTATATAATATTTATATAATATTTTATGTAATATTATTTACAAATTTCAGATGAAATGAAAAACTACAAGATCAAGATAAACATGAAATAGAATATTTTCTTCGAAACTATAATAAGAAAATGTTATATGATTGCAAGTCAGGAACAATATCTTTGCATCATATTTGTGGTAAATTGAATATAGTCATTTTAATTCTTACATATTTTTAAGAAAATCGGTGAAAGACAAGAATAAAGAGATTATCAGAATATCGTTTCTTATCTTGCTTTGTTATTATAACTTTATTATAATATGACTTAATCATGATAAAATAATTGTACGATTATTATATTAAGTTTAGTAATCGTATATATACTTCTAGTATTTGTTTTATTTTTATAAGAAATATTTTTATATTTTTTTATATCGGGATTAAAATTTATTGTCAAGATAAAAATATTTTTAAAGAATTATATATCGATAAATTGATTATTGATTAATATAACTATAGAATAAAGAATAAAATCTGATTATAATGCACAAAAACATTTCATAAAAAATGGCATATTATAAGATATAAGAAAAATATAAAAATTAACTTAGTGGATATTATTACAGAACACCATCTTAATCATCATCATCTTGATTAATATATGCATGTATGTATGTAAAAAGATACTATAATAACACTTTTGAATATTATGTACAGTTGATTTCCTTGACTCAACAATTACAAATAAATCGACTTGTTGTGTTCCATTACGCAATAATAATCTCTCCATATCTCGTACGTAAGAGAAAAATTTATTCATACAATAGTAATTAATCATGATAGATATAAGACTCTATTAATTTATGAAATATTGAAAATAAAATAATATTATACTAACATGTAAATAACAGTACCGACTCTGTACGCAATATATCATGAATTCAATTTAATCATGTGAAAAATCAAAACAATATAAATAATTATTTTATGCGTGATAGGCACTCTGAATATATATTATTGTCTTTTCTAAAATATAAATATTTTAAAATTTAAATATAATTCTAATAATATATAATATAATATATAATATGATTTCAATTGGTGACACTGTCATTTATTTTTAAATATGATTATTTATTGATTACCAAAGCAAGAAAAGAGCGTTCGATATATTTGAAAAGTCTACTCTGTCAATTAATTCTTCTTTTTATAATATTTCTATTTTAATGTACTTTGCAAGAATTTTCATTACGTGTTTTTTTGTTTCTAATATTATAATTTAAAATGGCTGTAATGAATTAATAGGAATCTTAAAATATAGAGATTCTCGTAATTATAGAGAAAAGAATATATTAAACTGCAATTTAAATAGATTGCGGTTATTGTAACACATACATATTATATAAAGACAGACGTGTATAAACAGTAATGACAAAAAACTAAGGACGAATGTCTGCGGAATGTCATGTGGTGATTTAGTTATTTTAACAATATGAGTATAGTTTAAGAAATAACAGAATTTTTCATTTAACTAGCAATAGTCAAGACTGTCAAGAATAAACAATTTAATGCAATTTTGTTATTTTGTTATTTTCCTAACAAATTGTTATTAATTGATAATCATATTAAATGATAATCATATTAACAGTAAATAAAAAAATAGTGACAAATATAATGAAAATGATAAATAAATCGTGACTGGCAAATTCTGTCTTCTATCTTGATTTTAAAAAGATCCTTATCATACTGATAATAACGAGGATATTTACGATTGAATTAGAGAGAAACGTTTATTAACTACATTTGCATTAATCATGACGAATCGGTATATTAGAGAAATAGCGCAAAACAACAAAGTAATCGACCGTCAGCTTGCGACACGTAATGTCGTACTTTGATATTATTACTAATAATAACATAAAAATATACAAACAAGTTACTAAAGAGTATAAAAGTTGAACTTATTTTCCATAAACTTGTATGGTGTATTCTGATTCAGTGAAATAATAATAGTAATAGATATATTACCATGATGTATGTAATCGCTTTATCGGTGATAGCGGGTGTTCTAGGTTTTTATTATTATTTCTTCAAAGATTTAAATTATTTCAAAAAACATAATATATTGTATAAGCCACCTATTCCTGGTGGGAAATATGGGACCATCAGTATTTCGTCTCCATTCGATCCAAGCCGAACTCAGCAAGGACATTTACAATTTACATTCTGAAACGAATTACGTTAGAATATTTGATATGACTAAACTATATATAATAATGCGCGACCCCTTACTTATTAAATCCATTACGTTGAACACTTCGATACCTTTCGTTTCCGGACCATCGTTTCGTGAACGAATCTCAAGATTCAAAATACTTGGCAAAAATCTTTTTTCAATTCGCGGAGAGAGGTAGCGACAAGTATGATCTTTATTAACTCCAGTCTTCACGTCGCAAAATGAAAAATATGTTTAAGTTA